GAATAACACATGTTAGTTTATTTATTTTTGCCTTACTGGATGTGTAAAATGAGCTTGAAATGTGTGTCTGACATGTTTTGTATCATACGATTGTTTATTTTGCCACTACATACATATTATGTGGATAATTCTTGAGAATTAGTTTTGTATATAAAATTAATTTGTACGTTTAATTCTGTTACACAGTATGTTTAATAGTTTATGGTATAAATTGTTGTTTCTTTATAGGTTGCAGATTTAAAAAAAGAGCTGAAATCAAAGGGATTAAGCACAAATGGAAATAAGAACGAATTGATCGAAAGACTTAAAGATTCTTTAACTAATAATGATCTTGGTAAATAAATTGGTACATCTAATTAGTTTTGACATTATCATTATATTATAATTTATGTAATGTGGTATTTCAGATATAGCAGATGCCAAGTCTGATGTTTTGGCAGATTCAGCTATACTAGACGAAGATGTATTGAATGTAAGTATTTAAGTTCATAAGTGTATGATAGAAAGTTTGCATCATTTGGTTTTTCTTAAATATATAATCAAGTTTATAATATTATAAGGTTGTTTGGAAAGTCACTTTATTCTTTTACCTCTAGAATTGAACTATATTTTTTTGAACCTCATCACACTTAAGCCCTATAATTATTATATGTTTTAAAAACTTATATTTTAAGGCTTGTGTGTAAAAAATTTTAATCAATTACATGCAGTAGTAAGAAACAAAAAAAGCTGAAATTGGCCAGAAAAGGGTGATGCTGTATGTTTGGTAAGATTTGAAAGGATTTGTTCATTTTTCAGTATTTCCAGGATAACATAACATTTAATTCTGATGCCTTATGTCATCAGCTGGATAAACTAAATGATGTACTTCAATAGAAAAGGTCAGAATTATCCCACAAGCAAGGTATAGTACTGTATCAGGACAACGCAAGACCTCACATAAGTTGGGTCAATTGCCAAAAGCTTTTGTAGCTTGAATGGGACCCAATAACACATTCGTCATATTATCCAGACCTACAGTCATCGGACCATTATTTGTTCCGGTCACTAACAAAATTTTTAGGCGGTAAAACCTTTACCTCAAATCAGCATGCCAAAAAGCGCTTTGATCAGTTTTTTGCCTATAACGACCAAAAAAATTATGATCTCGGGATTATGCTAATACCAGAAATATGACAAAAGATGTTTGATCATAACTGCCAATACATAATTTATTAAAGTATTTGTTTGTTGTACGAAAATTATGTGCCAAAACGTCTGTAAAAAATGAAGTTACTTTCCGAACAACCCAATAGATTATAAAGAGATTAATTTTTACAAATTACAATATAAGATTCATGCAAATTACTGTAGTTGCATTGATCTCTTATTTGAATTATTATTTTTCATATTTTTTATGTTATAAAATAGGATGACGAACTGGAGGATAAAGAAGATGTTGATACAACTCCTCCAATTGAAAATACAATCACATTAAAAAGAACACATGATATGATTGAAGAAAAACATGAAGAAACTGACATCAAGGATAATACCGTAGAAGTTGAAACAACTGTTGAAAAACTTACATCGGAAGAACCAAGGAAAATAATCAAATTAGGCTCATATTCCGACAAAGAGGTTTGTTCTTAAACATTTTAAATTAACTTAAAAAGCTTTATAAATTTGACCCTAATAATTATAGATGATCCTATTTTTATGAACTTTCTTCAAATAATGTGTAATAATATGATACATTGCTTCACTTAAACTTTTGAATTATTGAAATTTATTCTTCAGTTTGCATTTTGTTTTTACATTTCTATTGTAAAATACTTTATCTTGTAAATAATAGGCAAATTATAATCAGTTTTTAAAACTTAGATTTTTTGAATATCTATAAAGTTTGAAAAAAAAATTAGATCACTGATAACTTAATTAGAAGATAAACAAACAAAACTAATATAGTGAAGTATAAATAAAAATTAGTGGAATAATATAAATAATTAAATTATAAGTTGTCGAAATATATATAATATATAATGAATAGATTATATAACAAAAAGTTAAAATGACAAAAAGGTGTTTTCAAATAAACATTTTGAAAAGAGTGAGAACTGAGAAAATCTGCTTGATAGATTCCGCACTAAAAATGTTTTTAATGATAATTTCAAATATCACTAGAAACATTTTTTTAAAAAATGAAATATGCTTCAGTTTGCTTTTAAACTTTGTTTTTTAAAAATTAACTATTGTTTTACTAAATGTTTCTAGTAATAATTGTATTTTGAGTCTGTCATGTAAATGAAGTAAATTTGTTCTTTTGATGTTAGAGGATCGCGATCTTCTATTCTATTAGCTGATTCAGTTACAATTGTGTGAATATTTTAAAAATATTGGCTTTATCGATATATTGATCAGAAACAAGAACAAAAATAGAAATATTGAGCATAAACTGACAGAGAAAACTGAATTGAAAAAACTACTTCTTCACTTATTTGTTAAAAAATTTAGAAAATTTGAATAAGAATACATTATAGGAAACAAATTTTGAATCTTAAATTTTCTAAATTTTTTGCACACTATATTATTTATAACATCTATTGTTAAATAATTATATGTTATCTATATTAAACAAAATTTACTAATAGGAAATATACTAAATGGGAATTTTTTCTTAACATAGAGCAGTTGTAATAAATTTGGTATTTTCTGTTAAAAACATATTGATGATCTATATTGGAAAAATATTTTTGATTGAATGAAGGCCAGTGAATAATAATTTTGAATATCAAGTTGCAATAACTTATCATATCTGTTAATAGTTGTTTGGCAATAAACACGTGGGGAAATAGATGTTACTTTGAACAAATAATATTGAACAAACCATTTTAATTAACATTTATGGTATGAGTTAAAGGTTCAAATTAAACATTGTGAACAGTAGCCAATTTTTTTTTACTAAGCTTGGAGTAAACACTTGATAAAAGCAAACATAAAAATATATCCATAATAACAGGCTACAGATAGATAATTTTTTATGTTCTTGATTAACAACTTTATATATAGAGTTACAGATTCTCAAACTTAGTTTATAATACCCTATTGTTTTATTATATTTTGTTAAAACATATAATTAGGAAAATCTCATAAATATTAGCATATTTCAAAAATACTTAGAATTAGTGCATGATATACTCCTTTCACTTATATAGCTTTTTTAAAAGAAAATTTGTTGGGTATATATTTAGGTCTACAAGTACTATTAAGTAATATTATTACTTAAATATTTTTTTAATTATTTTTTTTTATTCTTTCCTTCCTTTTACATATATAGCTCTTGTACCTTTGAAAGCTTTGACCTTTGAAAAATTGTTGAATATATGTTTGGGTTACAAGTACTAATGAGTAATATTATTACTTAAATAAGAATATTTTTTTAACTTATTTGTTTTTTGTTACAGCGTCTAGAGATGCGTGCAAAGAAATTTGGTACACAATTACCATCTGATATGAAGAAAGAATTACGGGCACAAAGATTTGGGCTGAACAATTCTAAGTCAATAGCAAAGAGTGAGGTAAGAATTGATTCAAGTTAAAAATGAATGTTTAACAAATATATCAAATAATCATCTTGTTTGACATTTGTGATTTAAAATTAATTTAAAAAAAAAATAAGAATGATAATATTATTAAATAACTACTTAGTCATATGTGCATTTTATTTAACTTCATAAAGAAAAAGAATGTATTTGCACTTGAAAATCTGATTAGCAATTTTTATATTTTTATGTTTCAAATTATTCTGAACATTTTACCACTATCTCAAATACTTGTGTGCGTATGTGTGGCCAATTCTTTTTGTTTCCAATAACAATTGTTATTTACAGAGCAGCATCTTCCACACATATTTTTTTTAAACAGTTAATTGATATCAAGATAATATTATTTTTGGCATCATTTTCACACTCTATTGTGTCTTGAGCAACTTTGACCTTATTAACAATAGTAAACAAATTAATATTTATGATATTTGTGTCAATATCTGTATGCATAAAGAATATTTTAAGTCATCAAATACATATTTTTGGTAAGCCTGAGAATGCTCTCGATTTTCATTAAGTTTCATTTGCAATAAATCAACTTGGACTCTGTGGAGTATTGTCTAATTTAGTTGAATAGTTATCCAAAAAAAAACGCAGAATCTTACGGTCATATAATTCATTCACTATTTTCAAGGTATGCCAAAGTTCAATTAAAAATTCTCAATAATTTTTAACTTACAGTAGGGTAAGTCATAGTAATCGTAAAAAATCGAAAATGAAGTTTCTTGCATATCTTTACGTTTCAAAGGCTTTTGAACATTCTGGCATACCTTAGAAGGAATAGTATGTGTGGCTTGTGTGTGTATATGTGTATGTTTCCATGCAATTTATCGTCCACGATTTCGGGCGCACGCATCAACCGATTTAAATGATTCAAAAACATTTGATTCATATTAATGGGGACCCGTGCTAAATTCATAATGTTATTTTTTCTATCTTCTATAGGATGCAACCCTTGAAGTTTTAAAAAAGCGAGCGGAGAGGTTTGGAGGCTCCGTTTCGAAGAAACTTTCGGAGGCCGAGGCTAAAGAAAAGCTTGAGAAAAGGAAAGAACGATTCGGTTCAATTCAGAATACTAATGTAACAACATCATCAACTGATGTTAAAATAAAACCTACAATGACAAATGCTGAAAAAGCCCAGCTACGATTGAAGAGATTTAATATGGGGGTCAAGTAAATACAATATCTTTTTTTGTAAATTGTTTAATATCAGAAAATATATGCATTATTAGTTTTTTTATAAATATCGAACGACGTTTCTTAAAATCCCAACTAATGCATATGTTAAAATTGAGTGTTTTTTTGCACCATATTGAATTACTATTTTTATAACTTTGTTATAGATATATTTTAATGATAAATGAATGAAAGATTGTATTAATGTAATTTATATATTATATAATATGCTCGGTATTTGTGATTATTGATGATAACGCACTGAATAAATTTTCACTTGAAGTTTTTTTAAATATTTTTTTTTAATTTATTACATATCAATATGAAGTAAAAAAAATGTAAATATTGATCTGGCAAATCAACTGACATTCTGAAAATTAGCTAATTCACAATTTACCCTTTTTTTCTATCTCTATTTCGTCGTAACTATAACCATATCAAGTCAGGTCTGGATTGCGTTATTTATAACAACCAAGGTTAAAAATCGCATTTGAATATTAGTTTGATATTTGTTTCAATCCAGGTTTTATTTATCATCATTAATGATTGAAATCCTATAAATAATCATAAATTAATCAAACAAAAATATATCACAATATATCCTTTATATATATATATGTATATATATATATATATATATATATATATTATCTCATATCCTTCGGATCTAGAAATTTGAACTATTTTAAATTGCAAATAAAATAATAATCGAATATCAATTATTTTTATAACATATTTGTTAAAGTATGAATTTAACTAAAATTTCAGTCTGTTAGGTCTATTTAAAATTAATACATTTCAAATCCATAAATGTAAACTTCTCCATATTATTGTGGTTATTAATAGCAATTTAATAAAATCAAACCAATTAATTATTTACATCACTTTGTACATTTGGCATAACTTGCATTGTTTCTAGAATTGTTATTGATTCTCTGTTAAAAATATTTTGATGATAAAATTTTCTGAAAGTTCCTTTCAACGCCTGATGAACTTCCTGGTTGAGAAAGCAGAACAAGCATGAAACGCATATTCCCTGAAACATTAAAAATAAAATTATTAACTTACATTTATTTGATATGAAGAACACATCACAATAAAATGCTTCATTAATTCTCATAAAGCTAATAAAATTGAATAAAGCACCCAGTAAACCACAAAACGTAACAAAGCCATGAACGTTACGTAACGCTGGCACGTCCGCACGAATCAGGTACGTAACCTGGGAGGCACACAGAAGCATCTATTTCGCGGGCAAGAACGTAACGGCTGTTTCGTTGCACACTAATACACCGCGGTTACATTTTTGCTACGTATCTGAATTGAATAAAACAGCGTGTAGGTGTCTTTTATGTTACATACTTATTTAATTAAATTTCCTGCAAATATAGAATATTAATAATAATTTCGGATATTTAGTAATTTTATTAAATATTATCATTTACAATATACAAAATTTACATATTACATAGTTAACATTAGAAAACTATAATTTTAAAGTCCATAAAATGTTAGCCTATAAAAATAATTATTTATTTATTCATAATATGTATTATGTTTAACTCTCTTGGCAATTTCAGTTAAATCAGACTTGGCAAAGTTAAGTCTTGCGTTAAATATGTTCAACTCACTTGCATCTGTTAATGTATCTAAAATAGAACCAAACATCTTAGAAACATTGTACACAAATTTTGAATTGAAAACATTGTGAACAAATTAGTCATTTGTGAACATTACCTCTAAACATACTAGTTATTTGAAGTTAATGACTGTGTAGTTCCTACGATCATATGACAGAAACAATTATTCCATGAACAAACACTCAATTTTCTTGCATTGATTTTATCCTATTAATTTTCAAGATCTGAATTACCTAAAAGTAAAACACTACAAATTAGTATTAAATCATATTAGTTAAAATTCTCTTCATGTAGAACCTTAATATACCAATTCTGTAATGCAAGATCATCAGGCTCGAAATACTCAACAATTCATGTTCTCTTCAACACTTAATCCATATAATGTGTGATATCCGGTGTATTCTTTGTTTTCCTTCTTGAATGTTTTTAAGTCTTGCTTGTTTCTTTGGTGACAATTTATCTTCTTGATTAGAGCAAATTTCCCTAGTTTGAATTCCATTTTGACATAATCCATAGGGGTTATGAGCACTCTTTCTCTACAATTGGAAAGCAATTTATATCAGTTTTTGCTTAACTGAATAGTTCTGATACTAATGAAATTATAAAGAATATGTATGATACCATATATATTACACTTATCTACCTATAATATTTATATCATATCGTTGAATTGAGGTTATGTGATTTTTGACTGGTCTGTCAGAAATTTCAATAATTATGTGATAAATCAATTATCACAATACATAAACAGAATTTGCATTGCACATGACCTATATACTGAAAATAACTAATTAGTCATTAATATAATAATTTGGGTTCGTTCCATCCGAGCAAATCTGACAGTCCGAAACTGTTTCAAACTGTTTCAAACTAGATCAAACTCTTTCTGATTTTTTCATGGCAGTTGGCAATGGTTTGGTTTTGATACATGCAACGCGATCGAACTCGGAGCTCACTCGCATAGATAAAAGAAGAGTATATATGCTGACTCAATTGTATTAATAATTATTATTTTAATACATAAATATAAGTATAAAACATATTCTAATAAAATATAACTTAATTATATCAATGAATTTACTTTTTAATATTTCCTAGTTATATATCGTTAGGTCGCTTTAATCTAATATTCTACAATGTTTGAACTCCTGTAAGTTCATTAAATTTTTAATGTTCTATTTGAGATTAAATAACATTCTATTTTAATCGTATTAAATTGCGGAGTTTTTGTTTGTGCCGAGTACAAACACAAAATGATAGTTTCAAACTCATCGGACTGCTTGATGGAACGCATTACTGACAGTCCGCAACAGTTTGGAATCCGAAATTTTGGATGGAACAGAAAAAAGTGTTCTGCGCATGCGCGGACAGTTCCGGACTGTCAGATTGGTTCGGATGGAACGAACTCTTTGTAAATTAAAAAAAAAAAACAGTGCAATTATACTCACCTTTGCTGGTTTCGTATTAAATATGTGAATTTCCTAAAAGTAAAACATTACAAATTAGTACTAAATCATATTAGTTAAAATTCTCTTTGTGTAAAACATTAATATACCTATTCTGTAATACAATATCATCACTTAAGAAATACTCCACAATTCATTTTCTTTTCAACACTTAATCTTAATATGTGTTCTTATTTATCGATATGTGTTCTTATTTTTCTTCTCGCATGTTTTCAAGCCTTGCTTGTTTTTTTTTGGTGAAAAAGGATTAATAATTTCTAATATATTATCTAACTTTGTATTTATCTTCTCTATTGGAGAAAATTTCCCTAGTTTGAAATCCATTTTCGTAGGGGTTATCAGCACTGTAACTTTCTCTACAATTGAAAACCAACTTATATCAGTTTGTGCTTAGCTAAATAGTTCTGATACTAATGGAATTATAAAAAATGAATATGTATAAAACTATATAACTTACTTCTCTTTATTCATATATCACTGAATTGAGGTTATGTTTCTGACTGGTGTGTTAGAAATTTCAATTATTACATGACAAATCAATTATCACAATACATGAACAGACTTTGCATTGAAGGCGGCCTATATACTGCAAATGACTAAACATTATTATAATAATTTATAAATTAAAATATATTTCAGTACAATTAGACTCACCTTGTTGGCCGGTTTCATATTAAATACTTTTCCAGCTGACTGTTTAACTAATTTCTACAACTGATTTCGCACTAAATATAAAAGCAATTAATAAATAACGCTTCAATAAAGGAAATATCTTGCATTTCAAACAACACGATAAAATACTCAATTATGCGTCCACGATGCACTGACCGAGTTAACCTATATTTAATTTGACATTTCGATCATAAAACACTTCACGGCTATTTTCAAAGGCTAATCTATGTGACAATGCAACGTACCGCGCCACGTACCGACAGAAACGCGTCGACGGTGGTTAAAGATCACAACTATACGTAACAGCATCGGTTTTTTTACTTAACATCAGTTTCGAAACGAAAGTTACAAAATGAGTTACGTGGATTTAACTTCTGTGGTTTACTGGGCAGTAGTATATCATGTAATATAAAGTAAATTAGGCCAAGTTTGTTCAAGTAATTTATTAACTTCTCGTGGGGTAAGTTATAATAATGGCAAAAAAATCGAAAATAATTTTTTTTATATAAATTCATTACGTTTCAAAGGTTTCTGAACATTTTGGCATGCCTTAGAAACAAGGGATGTATTTGAGTGTGCGTGCATGCTGATACAAATTTTTGTCGACGATTTCGGGAACATGGATCAACCGATTTGAATAATTCAGAAAACATTCGATTTCTTCTGATAAGGAGACGTGCTGATTAGTTTTTGGTAAAGCCAGTTCTAGCCGTTCCGAAGATACCGGGCAAAAAGTGCCAGAAATGGTATTTCAGTTTTTGAGATAATGGAGCGTCCGATTTGATTCAAAAAACATTTTACTTGTATTGACGAAATGAACTGGTAAAATTTTTGTAAAGGTAGGTCTAGCGTCTCCGGAGATCCAATAAAAAAATTAAAAACAAATCCATTTGTGGGTCAAAAATGAACATTAGACATGATGTGATGAGCATATGTACATCGTATTTTCAGATATTTTATAAAGATTATAATGATAAGTACAAATTTTGTGTATATTTATATGGGTTCCTTACCGATGTTTACACGTTTGCCGACTACGCGGCGTTTACGCGCTTTGATATTTTGATTCCAAATCAGCTATTCAGCGCGATTGTTTAAAAAAATGTTCAAAATTTAAGAAAAAATCAAAATATTAAAAAAAGATTTTACAAAAAAGTCATTTTTTTTTCTAAAATTTCAAAATTTCTCAAAAATCTGAGTTTTTCAAAGTTTTGGGAAGTTCCAGCAATTTACCTTAAGCCACGAGGCCAAGCAACAATAGTTGTGCCTTACTTTAGCATAACATTCTGTTATTATTTACTTGTTTGAATATAATATATTGTGATATTGTATTTTTTGTCTTCTATTTTTCAAACTTCAATATTATTTTTAACTTCCCGTAGGGTAAGTTATAGTAATCGCAAAAAAATCGAAAATGAAAATTTTTATATATCTTTACGTTTCAGAGGTTTCTGAATATTTTGGCATACCTCAGAAAAAATGGATGTATGTGTGTGTGTGTGTGTGTGTGCGTAGTATGTATGTGTGTGCGGATACAAATTTTCGTCGACGATTTCGGGAACACGGATGAAGCAATTTGAATAATTCAAAAAACATTCGATTCGTATTGATAAGAAGACGTGCTGATTAGTTTTTGGCGGAGGCAGGTCTAGCCGTTCCGAAGATATGGGGCAAAAAGTGCCAAAAACGCTACCTCTGTTTTTAAGAGAACGGAGCATCCCATTTTAATAATTCAAAAAATATTTTACTTGTATTGACAAGATGAAGAATTGATCAAATTTTCATAGGGGCAGGTCTAGCGGTTTCGGAGATATAACAAACTAGTTGGTTTGGTATTTAGCCTTGAGGCAAGTTACATGAACTTCCCGATATGTGTAAATAATCGACTTAATAAAAAAAATGTGTAAATAATATACTTCATCAATCCTACTTCAAAAAAAAAACGATAATAATTTTAGCAAAGTTTGACGAATTTTTGAAATTAAACTACTTGTTGTAAGGCCGTAATATTACAGTAAGTTCTATAAGACCATGATGTATACGCCACAAAAATTCCATGAAAATCGGCCTAAATTTTTTTTTCAACAGTTAATTACAAGAAAACGGCTCGGTAGATTTTCACCTAAAATTAATCAGTACCATTCCCAACTAATATCTTTCGAACAGATTTTGATTTTTTAAAATCGGTTCAGTAGGATGAGCTTAAATGTGGACGAAAAGTTTAACACTTTTTTTTCAAATTGCAAAGAAACGGCTTGGCAGATCGTCGCACAAATCTGACAAACGATAGTCCTCACCAAAATACATCAAATGGCTTTTAAATTTCTAAAATCGGTTCAGGCGTTTTTGAGAAAACGTCGATCAAAAGTCTAATTTTGACAAATGCCAAAAAAGCGATACCAATTTTTGCAAACTTTGACGAATTTTTAAAGCTGAACCAGTTGTCGTAGGGCTGTAATATTTTAGTATAATCTAGAAGACTATGGTATCTACAGTCAAAAAAATAATCATAAAAATCGTCGAATTTTTTTTTTTTAAACTTTATTACAAGAAAACGGCCCGGCCGATCTCTAGCAAAAACTAATCAGCACGATTCCCAATCAATATCTTTCGAACGGTTTTTGAATTTTCAAAATCGATTCAGAATTGCGGGCTAAAACGTAGACGAAATTTTTTTCACTTTTCTGCGATTTATAAAGAAACAGCTTGGCCGATCATCGCACAAAATTGACAAACAATAGTCCTCATCCAGATACATCGAGTAGCTTTTAAATTTTTGAAATCGGTCCAGCCGTTTTCGAGAAAACGTCGAGAAAAATCTGTTCACATACACGCACACACACACACACACATACTTTTCCAAATTTGGTCTCATTCGATTCAGAATGGCTTGAAACGTCGAGAAAACATAAAATTAGAGAATCGGATTTTTTTATGAAAACATAAACTTCTCCTTCGGGAAGTTAAAAAAGTAAAAAAAATGCCATTTGGCGGTCAAAAATGATCATTAGACATATGCACATCAAATTATCAGATATTTTGTAGAGATTTTAACAAGAAGTATAAATTTTGTTTTTATTCCTATGGGTTCCGTACCAATGTTTATCCGTTAGACAGCGACGCGGCGCTTACGCGCTTTATATTTTGTCTCTATGCAGTTAAAGCAGTACGATTGCTTTGAAAAAAGTTCAGATCTTCCAAAATATGTCAAAATAAAGAAAACATTTTTTTTTCAAAAAAAAAAAAATTATTATTTTTTTTTTTTTAATTTTTTTTTCAAAAAAAATAATTTTTTGTCCAATTTATAGTTTCTCAAAAATCTTATTTTTTCGAAGTAAAATTTTTTCAAAAATGTTAATCGTTTTTAAAAAAATAATAATTTTTGGTACGGGAAGTTCCAGCAATTTGCCTAAAGGCACAATGCCTTAATTGCCTTAAGACAGAATTCCACTTACAGCTAGTTTATATTTCATCGGCGATCCGAACTACGTGTTCTGTGAGCTGTTTCTGTTAAACATAGATACTTATTGTTACTTCACAAAAATATTCGATTTGTATTACTGTCACATTTTATTTTTTTACTCATAACCATCAAAATTAACTGAAACTTCTAAAATTTGATTATAAAAAATATGGACTGAGAATTTTAATATTGCCTATAACCTAAGTTGGATATAAATGCGCGTACGACAAGCCAATAAAATTCCAGTAGTATTTTAAAATTAAAAATCGGTAGTTTAGGAGTTCATTGCGGACTATAGTAATGGACTATGAAGTTGAGTGATCCAAAGAGATGAAATATCTCGCCTGGTACTGGACAGAATCCTCAGCTTCATCAAATGCGTGAATGCCAAAATTGGACAGACGTTCGTGATGATAAATATGCTGGAACCTCTCATGAACCATAAAAGCCTGCTAATCATGAAGAACAAATGGATACAATAGCTGACTTTAATTAGCCCTTTCCACTCGAACGCCACTGCTCCGGCGGCAAAATACATATTAATTTCGAAATTCGCGAGTGGAATGGGTTAAGCCAGTGTTGTTGAACGCTGCTCCTGTATGAAATGCGACAACAAAGACGAAATTTCGGACTAGAACTAAACTAGTCGAGAAACTCACTGACAAGGCACTACTACATATTGAACAAAATACTGATAATTTTTATTTCAAATGTAGGGATCATACAAATATTAATATAATAGCACTTGGACAATTCATAAGAGAAATAGTTTGGTATGGCAAACTATATCCTGATCGACCAATAGCGACAATTCCAATGCAATGAAATAAGAGAATTAAGTATTATAATATTTTATAATCACCATAATTATTATTGAAACGTGATATTTTATCCGGAGAGGTGTTAACCGTTTTTATTTTTTGATCACGATATATTCCGGATTAATTTAAAGAAAAAGAAATGGTCTCTTAATATTTAATTAGAGTGAAAGATTATAATAACTTTTGGGTAAAAAAAATATATCACTAACACATTGCAATTCACCATATACATGAAACACATGTTTTTAAACTGAAATTGAATTGAAGA